GAAGATCTCGCACAAATGGCGACCACCGCCACTTGGATGGGCCAAGCTGAATGTTGATGGGTCCTTCGCCCGCGAGGATGGTAGGGCGGGTACTGGGATGATCCTGCGCGGTCATGACGGTGGCATCATCTTCTCTGCTTGTCGCTCTTTGCGATCATGCTTTGGCCCTTTACATGCTGAGCTCGAGGGATGCTGGGAAGGCCTCGGCCTAGCCCTTCAGTGGACTGAGCTACCGATCGCCCTTGAGTGCGATAGCCTGCAGGGCGTATCGATGATCAAGGCGATTGGACAAGGTCGCTCCGAGCATGCAATGGTGATCTCGGAGATCAAGGAGTTTCTGGGTAATAGGGAGTGTTGTGTTACTCACATTTATAGAGAGTAAAATAATGTAAGCCATGTGTTAGCAAACTTTGATAGAACGGAGGACCGTACGATGGTCTGGCTCCGCTCTGGACCGGCTAACATCCCTAGCTTGTGTAGGGATGACCTCTCCTGCTCTTGAGTAATACAATCCTTTTACCCTCGATAAAAAATGCCACATTTTCTTTCACAGGAACAAGTCGACGCCACTCGAAAAAATCCACAAACACCGAAACAGTACGATAGCCTCCACCTGCTCCCGTATCCAGAGACGCGGCGGCGGAGAGCGGTAAAAGTACGATACACGTGTGGCTGGCGTCCCGCACAGCGCGCGCGCAACGCACGGCGAGCTTCGGTGCGTGCATGTACTACCACTTGGGTCGGCGTCACCGGCCGGCAAGAGTCATACGAGAGTGGTACTAGCAGGCACCGATTGGTTGGACGCCGTGGCGATCGGCTCGCGCTCGTCGGTATGATTGCAGGACCAAACCTTACGACGGCGTGGCGCTGGGCTAGCTGAAGGCATCTCCCGTTAGCCTTCCAGGAGGGGCAAAAAATCGCCTTCGGAGACGCACCAGCGCTAAACCGCGTATTGAGAACGTGATGCCTCCCAGTCGCGGCCCCTCACGAAATTTTAAAAAAGTCAAATACGGCGCAAACACGACTCAAATTTAACGCAAACTTCAGCGAGTTCGTTCAAATTTAAATATGCTTTATAAAAAAAGGGAAAAACTACCGCGGGCTACCCCCGCCGTCTCTCTCGCCGCCCACCTCGCCGTCCGCCCACGCGGTTCTACATGCCGAGGAGGCGGTAGAACCGCGTGTAGTCACCGTCGTCGTCGTCGTCGTCGCCCCCGCCGACGCCTCCGCCGTCCCTGCTGCATCCCTCCCCCGGTTGGCGCGGCGGATTGGATGGTCCGGGGGCGTCGTCGTCGTCGTCGCTGAGGACCACAACGCCGTGCTCGTCCTCGCGCCCACGCTTGCGGGCGGCGATCTCCTCCAGGGCCCGGCGCTGCCGGACCATCTCGTCACGGAGGTAGTCGTCCCGCGCCCACAGCAGGGCGTCCTCGTCGGAGAAGTCACGCCGCGCTATCTCCTCGTACTCCACGGGGAGGCCGGGCTCCGGCTTGAACTCCAGCTTGGGCTCGACGAGGACGAAGCGGCCGGTGGGGGAGGCGTTGTCGCCGATGCGGACGCCGGAGCTGCGAGTGCGCGCACTGACAGGCGCGCCCTGGGGCTCCGGCTTGACGGGGCGGAGGTGGAGGCAGGGGGAGTCGCCGGACGAGGAGGAGGACCCCTCGGTCTCCATGCGCCTCGGGGTCCAGGAGCTTCCCCCGCGGCGCGTGAAGGACGGGGGAGCGGGGTACTCGAGGCGCGGCGTGTTGCCGCCCTCGATGTACTCGAGGACGGCCTCCAACGTGCGCCCGGGCACGCCCCACCACCGACGCCGGCCGACGGCGTTGAGCCTGCCGGAGGGCTCGACGCCGTTGGTGGCCTCGAGCTGCTCGGCGTGACGGCGGCGGAAGTAGGACTCCCAGAGCGGGCTGTCGGGGACGTACCGTGGCCCCTCCCTCGCCGCACGCGGCAGGGACGAGCGGATGCGTGAGATCTCCGCACGTCGTGCCGCGTCGGTAGGTATCGGGGGCACCGGCACGCCGCCGGCGCTGATCCTCCACGCCCCGGGTACCCGCATGTCCGGCGGGACCGGGTACTCGGCCTCGAAAAGGAGGCGAGTCTCGCTCTCGTGAAGATGGCGGCGGCCAAAGCCGTTCGCCGCCGCGCCGTCGCCTGGGAAGCGCTCGGTCATGGGTGCTGAAGATGGCGAGGGAGAGGAGAAGGAAGAACGACGACGACGAGAGAGAGGCGAGGGAGGAACGACGACGGCGAGAGAGTACGAGTCGCCGAGTGCTCTGGGGCGCGTCTTATATAGGCCGAGGCGCCGCCCGTGCGCGAGCCGCCGTGAGTACGCGTGGCGGGTAGGGAGGGCGAGGGACGCGCGTCATCCGGTCTTCACTGCGCCGCCCGTGAGGTATCAATGGCGCGGGCTGACTGGTGCGGCAGCTTTGGCATTGATTCACCACGGGAAACGAGGCGATGAGGACGACGAAGGGCCGAGAAGAGGGTAGAGTCGCTGACGCGGCGGGCCCGCGGCTGTTTCGCGCCAAAACAGTTCGCCCCGGCGCCCCCGGACGCCCCCCAACGCGCCGGGTTCGGCCTGGTCCGCCGGCGCTGTTTTCGCCCAAGCCGACGAAAATCAGGCTCCTGGGAGCACGGCTGGGCTGATTTTTCGACGCCGGCGCGAAAAAAATGTCTGAGAAGGTTTTTCTAGGGGCGCGGCTGAAGATGCCCTGAGGCGAGACGGAGAGGCCTGGAACCGAATTAGTTGAGGAGACGAAAGAACCTCATCCATCCGGATATACGCGTTGGTTAGCGAAAGTGACCGTCGGATAAAACATGTTGCAATCACTGGGCGCGCACTGCAGGAGGCGCAGGTTGTAGTTGTGCCTACTAGTGTTGTTTTTTTGGAGCTTTGGGGATTGGCCCGATGCTCACACAGGATAATCCCCGGCGCAAGCATGACTTCACGCGATCCAGAGCGCAAGATCCCGCCGCTAAAGTCAGTGCCGCTTTTCCACCTTGACAGGAACAAGTCAATGCCGCTTTGTGTGGTGAGGCCGCGAGAGTGCGTCTCCTCTAAGTTCCATTTGGGGAAAGAGGGGCTTTTTTTTTGGCGGAATGAGTTTCACTCGCGCGCATGTGGTTAAATTTGTAAGGCAGTATCGCTCGGTTGTCACGAAATTTTGATGTAGTTTTTATTATATTCAAAATGCTTTGGTAAACTTTTATAACACGAAAAGGGAAACAAAATACACACCGTACGCCGACAAAACTACATGGAAGAAACGCCGAGGGAGTAATGCTCTGTTTCAAATTACTCGTTGCAGAAATGGATCTATCTAAAACTAAAATACATCTAGATATATCCGTACTTGCGACAAGTAATTCAGAACGAAGGGAGTAGTTACCACCACCCAACGCTAGCACATCAGAATTTTGAGATGCACCGTACTTTTCTTGGCTCAGCTTATTAGACAAGCAAGACCGCTTCTCCGATCCTTCATCCATTCAGATTGTTCACCTTCAATGAAAGCTCACTCGTCCTTTGATTTGGAGGAATTAATGTAGGAATTTCATAAGATAGGAAGGATTTGTATAGGAAATCTTTTTTAGTCTTTTGTTTGTATGAATAGAATCCTATTTCTATGAAGGAATTCCTCCCATCCTTCACATTTTGTATGAAAATAAATATGAGTCTATGCCTAATGTAAAAAATTCTATGATGTGAACCAAAGAGCATCTACTTTTTTATTCTTATTCATAGGATTTGAGGATACATGTCATCTTATTTTCTATGATTTTTCTTTTCCTATTATTTTCTTACCCTATGAACCAAAAGAGGCCTAAGACTGTTTTTGACACTGTAGGGTCCTAGTATAGTATACTACCTTCATCCTGGTCTATTAGTTCCTGTCCTCATCCCCAAAAAATTAGGGTTCCTCTGCCTCTCGCCGGTGTTACCATCGGTCTGTCTCGTCTTCGGTGGCCTTAGAGCTATGGAGGCGCGGTGGATCCTGGCTCTTGTTGGCGGGAGGGCTTCGTTTGTAGTTATTTTTTAAGTTTTGGTATTAAGATTTGTGCCCTACTCAAGAAGGTGAGACTGCAGCGGCTTCCTAAAGATGGAATAAGATTCTTCCCGTCTATCTCTTGTCCTGGTGGTGCATCTAGCATTGTCAGTGGGTGTGTGAAGGCGTGTCTCCGACGGATTTGTCTTTGGTGGATCTGCTCGGATTTGGTCGTCGTTCGGCTACATCCATGTGTTTTCATGTTGAATTCTTTCGATCTACACTACTCTTCATCGGCGGCAGTTACTGTTCTGGTGCACTGGTCCTATGAGGTCTTAGCACGACAACTTTCCGATTGTATGCTACAACAAGTTTTGCCTAGCTCCGGTGAGTGAGGGCCGATGACAGCGGCGCGTCTTTGGAAATACTTGTCATCAAAATGAATAAAAGGGAATGAATCTAGATTATTTTAGTTCTAGATACATCCCTTTTTGTCCATTTTGATGACAAGTATTTTCGGACGGAGGAAGTACTCCCTCCGTTCCTAAATATTTGTCTTTCTATACATTTTAAATGGAAACAACATACGGATGTATGTAGACATATTTTAGAGTGTAGATTCACTAATTTTGCTTTGTATGTAGTCACTTGTTAAAATCTCTAGAAAGACAAATATTTAGGAACGGAGGAAGTACAATGTTATTATTTCTGGTATTTGTTGTACTGTGATGATTGAATATGAATAGAACATAAGTTTTTTTGAAAAAAAGAAAGAAAAGCAGGATCACGCGCACACGCACATGAATAAACAAACAAACGAAGAAAGAAAGCTGCAATAAATCGCGATCGCAAAGGCATCTGTGAGTGACTCGGAGAGTAATTATTTAAGGCACCGGACCGAACGGCGCACGCACTGTGTGTCCCTTCCCGGAAGAATTCCCCAATTAAAAGAGATCTCTCCTCTCTCGTCACATCCACCTCACTCGCTCGCTTCCTGCTGCCATTCCGCGGCCGGACATGTCGTCGTCGGGGGCCGGCGAGGAGGGCGCCGCCGCGCCGCAGGGGCCGCTGCCCGTGGAGCACCGTAAGGGCGCCAACGGGCTCGACAAGGTCGTCCTCCGCGAGGCCCGGCGCATCACCGCCGAGGTAAGATATTGCTGGGCGCAACGCACCTTGTCTCCCTCTTTGAGTTCCAACTGGTAGGCATTCCGGCGGCCAGATCTCGGCGCAGATCCGTGCCGCCTGCCATGGGGCTGGATGGTATGGGCAGCCTCTGCAATTGCTGCTCCGATCCCGACCATTTTCCCGGCAGAAGTGTTATCGTAGCGGATTTTCCTATGCTTTTTTTATTGCCATCATTTATCATTCGCTCGATTGCGTGGAGCCCGTGAGGAACTGATCTTGGGGTGGAGATGATTGTTCTGGCCATTAGTTTTTTGAAAGAAAAAAACCCGGTGTACGCTGTCGATGGTTGATATGACCCAAAGTCTAAGTCCGTTGCGTTCACTGTTAGGACCTTGCATCAGTAAACGCCTATAGTTATTAATGGTGATCGAGAAATCAACAACATGATCAAAAAATGTCCACTGTGATCTGTATAATGGAGTTTCTGTAATTCCTGAATACAAAGCTTTAATATGCTAATTGGTGCGTGTGATCTATGTGCTCGTGACTCAAGAGAGTGGCGAGCATAGGTTCATAATGGAATCATCAAAGGAGTCTCCAAGATAGTTGCTCGCTTAACTAGCTGTTAGGACACTGGAGTGATGTGAAGCAGGGCATATGCCTTTATAGGTTAGGACTCGTTGATCGAACATATTGATTTTCTGTTGTTTGGTACTTCAGTTTACCGTATCGTTATATATGATTCTCCAAACCTGCAATCCTGTACCCATAGAAGTGATGGGTCAGGTTATCAAGCAAACTGGTCAGATAATAAAATGAAAAAATCCGAGTCTCCTCCGATCTACCTCCTGTTGCCTACTTTATCACTCAGTTATCCAGACATCGATGATGAATAGTATGCCGGCTATTTGGGCTTCTGCCATGGTGTTAGTTTCTGCTGCAATTCATGGAGAGGGCCATGAGGTCAGCACTGGTAGATAGGTAAAATTGCCAGGTGAGAATTTGAGCTGTACAGAAATGATGGGTGGTGAGCTAGCGGTCATTTGTGATGTTGTTCCGAGTGATTTTTAAGTTTGTGACCCTACTGCCATGGTTATTATTCCACCTGTCATTTAGAAGTTACCCGAATCATGATTTTCCTAATGTCCGGACATGCTTCTATTGAGATGCACTAGATAGATCAGCCCATAATTTTTTCTGGCATATCAAATGTACACGAAGAAGACGAATGGGCTAAGTAACGACAGATGTATATGTTTTATTGCTGTTCCACAAGGCTTGGCTATTGGAAGTTCAACACTCAGATCACTATAGTTGGGCACATTGTTTTTTGTTCTTTGGGATATTCGGAATGCTTTTGCAACAAAAAATAGGTATTTCTTCATGGCATAATTATTAGTCAGCAGTATGAATATTCCACTTGATGGACATCTGATAGTAATAGAAATGACACTAATATAGAACAACAAGCGCTTACTATAAATTATCTGCCCACTTGTTTGTGCATTCCAGAGTCCTATTTGCTACAGGATGAACCTGGATTTCATGACTGTCGAAATAGACCAAAAAACTGTGTGGTCGTTACAAGTTTTGACAGAAACAAACAGCAACTACCCATCCAAAATAGGCGTTGAACTCCAAACCTCAAAAGCAGACACAAAACGAATTTGACTTGAGAAGTTCTGACCACCTTTTGAGAGCTTTTTTTAGTTAACCTGTTACAAACAAATAGGTATTTACTTATTTAGTCCTATATGTGTTATTTCTGCCAGGTGTACCTGTATGGTGGCCATGTAACATCATGGAAAGATGAGCATGGGGAGGAGCTGCTTTTCGTTAGTAATAAGGTGCCATTGTTTTCCTTAAGTACAAAATATTATCTCAGCATTGTTTCGATTATCAATCATGTCTAAGTCCTGACTTGAATTGATTATCATCCAGAACTTTATAACATACAAATACATATCTATTCTGAAAGCTAGTTCAGTACTTACCCGTTCGATGCTTGGGCAAAAATATGTGCTGTCAATAGCAAGTTTTATCTTGAGTTATGGTTGACATTTCAGTGCAGTAAGTCAAACAATCTTTACATAATTTTCATTACCATCTTTCTCATATATGCCATAATGATGTGGCGATGGCGGTATTCTAAATTAGCATTTCCCTGGTGCTCATTTTGCCTTGTCAACATCAAAATATATGTGGATCTGAATCTTACTGGAATCTTGATCCCACACCTTCTTGATTGCCTAATATTTGCTTGACTGATTTGATTGTTCTGTCAGGCTATTTTCAAACCTCCAAAAGCTATACGTGGAGGTATACCAATCTGCTTTCCTCAGGTATGAGAGTTTTGTTTTCTGGACCTGTTTTTTACTCTTTTGCTTCATTAATTCCTTCTGTTTTGTCTGATTTTATTTTTGCTAAGTACTTCCCCGTTCTAGTTTTCCAACTTCGGACAGCTGGAAGCTCATGGATTTGCAAGGAACAAGATCTGGAGTGTTGACACTGATCCACCACCATTTCCAGTACCAATCTCTAGTAGAGCTTACATCGATTTAATCCTTAAACCTACTGATGAAGACTTAAAGATCTGGCCACATAGGTGGGCATCCTAAATAACTACATACTTATAGTGGATTCATGCTATTTTAGAAACTGGGCATATTTTTTTCGTTATAATTTGTGTGTTCAAATGGATCCATAAGAGCAATTCTTTCGTTGCAGTTTTGAGTACCGTCTGAGGGTTGCACTTGGACCTGGTGGAGATCTGATGCTGACTTCACGTATAAGGAATACCAATGCAGATGGAAAGCCATTCTCTTTTACCTTTGCATATCACACATACTTCTCAATTTCTGATATAAGGTATGTTTTTCAGCTCACTATCATAATAAAAAAACAATATCAAGAGTTTGAAGTGATCTCGTAACAGAAGCAGAATACTTAATCCCCACTCCTAAGTTTGTTTGTCCCAAATCTAAACATTCCATAATTTCCACATCTGTTAACTGCCTCATTTTTATAGTAGTTCTTTTTTCTCTCGTCATAATTCCACTCTAATATTTCAGTGAGATACGAGTAGAAGGCCTGGAAACTCTGGATTACCTAGACAACTTACAAGATAGGGCCCGCTTCACTGAACAAGGCGATGCTATTGTTTTTGAATCTGAGGTGCGTTACCAAGGCATTTGAATCATATTACCATTTTTTTCATTTTTCTTTGCATCCCACTTTCTAACTCAAGCATCTGTAAAATTCACAGTTGGACAGAATATATCTGGGCACGCCGTCAAAAATTGCCATTATTGATCATGAGAAAAAAAGAACATTTGTTGTGAGGAAAGGAGGACTTCCGGATGCTGGTATGGTGAACTCTTACATTTGTTTTCTCAGAACTGTAATAAATTATTGCATTATAATCATCGGAAATGGTTTTAAAGAGTTTCTTCTTTTTCTTCTTGGTTACAGTTGTTTGGAACCCATGGGACAAAAAAGCTAAGGCAATGGCAGATTTTGGGGATGACGAATATAAACGCATGGTATGTGTGGAAGCAGCTGCTATAGAAAAGGCGATTACTCTGAAGCCTGGCGAGGAGTGGACTGGAAAGTTGGAACTATCTGCAGTTCCGTCTAGTTATTACAGCGGTCAATTGGACCCAGATCGTGTTATTCAGGATTCAGTTGTTCCGGAGGATTCAGTCAGCTAGCCCTTAGTCAAGTTCTGTGCAGGTAACATTTATACTAGTAATATAGCCATGTATGTAAGTTGTGAACATAGTATACTCATGCAGAGAACATATAATACCATCCATACTCCATATTCTATTGTAGCTAGTCTTTTCATTGAATGTAGTCACTCGCATACAAAGTTTTTTCTCGAACGACACAGGAGAGCTGCGTGTCATTATCATTAAAAAGGAATAAAAAAATACAAGGAGAGGCCAGCAGGCCAACTCCCAGAGATGTGTAGTTACGGGCTCGTCATGAACAAAAGAAACTCAACCTCAACCAAACACACCCTGATCTAAGTTTCAGGGAGGGAGGGCGTCGCACACTATTTTCTTGTACAATGTGCTCCAAATTATACATAGAAGTGCTTAAGTCCTTAGTTGGAACATAATGTGTTCTTTAGACAGAATTAAGTCCACCATGCGAGACCAGATGTTAGGTAATGTGCTGAGGTTAAGTAGTGGGCGTCCTATCTCTAGACCAGATCAAGTGCTGGAACTCAGGCTGGATACTAGGTGATGTGTATATCTGGTAATGTGGTGGAGTACTTATTGGGATAGTGATTTCTGGACCATCTGAAGTGTTTGAACTTAGGAGTGGCCGATTAACATATAAAATTTCTCGCTAAGAATTGTGACCACAAACAGACTTGTTTTGATGGCTTGGTTAAGAACTTGACATGGTATGCATAACCTGTCTTTTCATATTTGGAAATCAGGATTCGATGGAGATTAATATAAACTTACTAGAATTTACTGACAAAGTGGCAACCACATTGTGGAAACCTTTTATTTTGAGAACTTCAATTGCAAAAGTCTAGCTTGCCTGCACAATGTTTCATTTTGTTCCTTTTTAGTTGTGAGTATCAAGATGCTGTGAACTGTGAACTTCCTGTCATATACATATATGTTCCAAGCCAATAATTGTTTTGCATCTGTTCTCATTAATAATTCCTTGTGTATGATTCATATTGACATGTTTCCTGCGTTGCAGGTAGACTATTAATATCATATGCACAAGGAAAATGGCAGCTACGAGTGTCAAAACATTTCTTCCATTCTATTCAAATCTTTGTTGTTTTCGGCGTACCTACCGCAACAGAGCGAAAATCTCAACATTGATTTCTGTTTCGGTATCCACATGACATAAAGGGACAAATCAGTGTTTGTACCCTGCATAGGGATGATTGAAGAAACATCTTAGATGGGTTGTAAAATAAATTTATAACTGTATTTTCTTCTTTTACCAGTTTCTTTTATGCGTAAGTTTCATAGTGTGGCCAAAAGGCGAAGATGATGTCAAACCACCTTTCAGATAAACACACATGATGTGTAAACATGCCAAGGTTTTGAGCTGCATGGCTTGGTGGTTGTTGAACCATGCTTATTTGGATGCAATTGTGCACCATTGGATAGTTATATGAAGGCATGGTGTTTTTGGGTCCCTGAGTAAAGCTGTTATTTTTGGTGAATCAGTTATGCAATCTAAGCAACACATGTTGGGTTTTCAAACTTGTTAGCCTAAAAGGTTTCAGTTTTGTTTGGACATTTTAGTTAGCATTCTTAGAAGAAGTTGATCTAACGTATAGCCAAGCATGATTAGCTTAGAAGAAATTCATACTGAATTCTTAGAAGAAATTTCTTTGCTGTTGCGTAAATTGAAATGGTTAGCTTGCACGGGTGGAATGATTATGATCGACTGATTTGGTTGTGAGCAAGTTTGAAATAAAATGTGGGGGATGCATTTATTTTATACTGATGGAGCCATATGTATGAAAATGTTTGTTGTGTATGCACTGACGCATGGATTAGACAGTGAGAACTTTCTGTGCACTAAAAATGGGTTGGTATAAATACAGTTGTATGAGAGAGGCCCATCACTTCGGCCTATGAGGCCCAAACCCACTTATACCAAGTGACCTAGAAGGAGGGCACGAGTGAGTCTGCCCACATAAATCCGCGGCTATCGGCGAGAGGTTAGTCTCCACGCCTACATGGTATCAGAGGGTGGGGCGTGAGGACGCGAGGAGATTTATGGGGTGGTGATATGTCTCAAATGTATATATAATTTTTTTTGATTTTTTATTGCTACATTTATATCACTTTGGCATATTTTTGACATCATTCCATATTATTTTTTTGGACTAGCCTATTAACTCAATGCCTAGTGTCAATTGTTGATTTCTGCATGTTTTTAGACTTTCAGTAAAATCAATTTTACGGGGCTCCAAAAATCTTGAAAAAACATTAGAAAAAGTTTTGAGTCGGGAAGCTTCCAAAGGACCCGAGCCCCAGGGGAGCCCTATGAGGCCCATGCGGCCAAGTGGCGCGGCTAGGGTGGCCGTGTGGTGAGGCCGTGGGTCCCTGGTGCTCCGTTCCATCGCCTGTTGACGCTTATATTTTTTATTTGCTCCGAAAACCCTAAATATTATGGAGCCATACTGTTTTCGCTTCCACACTTCTCTGTTCAAAAGCGCTTCAATATGTAGTCCTTTTCTGGTACTCTGACGAGGAGAAAGTCATCTTGGTGGCCATCTACATCAATTTGAAGGCCACCATGATCGCTCATGAGTAGTTTCCATTGGACTGTGATCCATAACAATAACTAGATGATTCTTTTCTCCATTGCTTCTCTTTATAAAGATCACATGAGTTGCCTTACATGATTGTGGTCCATCTAATGTAATCTGTTGGTATGTTTGTTGCGGTGTGATGAATCATCACTTTATGATAAGATCTGTCATGAGTTCTTTTGAGATGAATTTGGTTTCTTTGTTGCATACTTCTTATACATATATGTTCTCTAATCTAATTGTATTTCTTTGGCCAAGTTTGATGGTAATCTCCAAGAGGGAGTTGTGTATGTTGATTGGGTTCAATCTTGCAAGTAATCTACCGCAGTGATTTTTTTGAAAAATGCTTGCATTGTATTGTTGCGACCAGGAATAAAAAGATGATTGCGTAGTTGTCCTTCGAAGGCAAGGTGAAGACAATATATCATCTACTTCATGTCATCATACTTAATCCACTACTCTGTTTCTTTACTTAATACTTTGAGATGCATTGGGTTGGAGTATTAGCTATACATGCAATTGGGTAACGGTCTATAGATGTTTGGACTTTGGACATGATGCTCATATGCAATTATGCCATGTATAATCCTAGTCATAAAAATGCAAAATCGATACACAACTGTAGTTTATTCACCACACCTTGCTATTTCTTTTGGAGAGAAACCACTAGTGACCTATGGATCTCAATCCATTCTTCTTTCATTGCTTTCAACCTCGATCAAATGAGCTTTACAATTACTACTTTCATTTCTTTTCCTTGCAACTACGATCTTCCACACACTAGCATTTAATCCTTGTAACTAGAAAGGCTAGTAAGACTGGCAATCTTACTAGTTTCATTGGGGCTAGTGCAAGTTTTGTATCTATATGTCTAAATACTTATCATTGGTAGTAGTTCGAAGCTCATACTGGTTCAATAAACCTTAAGACCATCCACTTTGAGGGAAAATTGATGCTTGCCACAAACCCTTACACTTGGGGGCCCAACACCTTCCTACTTGAGAGGAAGCATGTGCTGGTGCTGGGTGAGAGCTCGTGGTGCGGCAAGGCAGCACGAACGACAGTGGGAAGTGAATGGCCACGGCGGGGCTGGTCCATCGCAAGGTTCTTCCTCTGACTACTTCTTGTTCTTGTACTCCGGGTTGCTGTTCTTGGCATCCCACATCAGCTGGGTGAGCTTGCGCACTATGAGAGAGAGGTACGACTGGCTATTGAGGTTGAGAGGAAGGAGGTGGGAGATGAGGTGGTGTTGGAGATGACAACAAGCTGCTAGTGCTACGGAAGGGGTGCCATTATCAGTTGAGGCATTGTCGAGTGCTTCTGATGTGCAGACCATGTTGTCCAAGAGGTACTCTTGTAAAGGAAATCTGATTCTCATGTCTCAAATGTAAGACAAGATTCAGGTTGTTCGTCAAGGTAACAAAAGTGTGATGGTATATGTGAATGATACGCAACACCATTTGGCAGATCTAGATCAACGCGACCCCCTTGAGCTTCCACATGCTAAATCTATGGAGATTGTCAGGAATTGGGTTGAGCGCAGACATGTAATGCATTTTCTAGAAAGGCCTAGATCAAGGTTTTGAGAGCAGGCATGTTGCGCTACTACATCAATTGACGCTTGTGTCCCTTGATGAGGCCATTGTTGCGATGTCCCAAGAAGAGGTGCACCCGCGGTCGAGAAGAGGAGATGGAAATGAATTTACTTACAGAGTGGTTGACTAGTGAGGTTCTGAGGGGTGTTATAATTTTGGTCAACCAGGGCATATCAACTAATTTTGCATTGGACCCAGAAGAAGCGGAGGCCGAGGCTACAATGGTGGCAATAGCAGCTGAGTTGGTCAGAATAGGAGTGGAGGTTTGTGGTACACTCCTCATTGGAATGCTCCCAATTCAAATGTATCTACTTCAGCTGAAGGGAAGCAACGTGTAGGGGGCTAGGAAGCTGCTACTAGTTATGCTAACTTTGTCAATACAAATGAAGGTACATTGAGCATGCATCAATAGCAGCCCATAAAATAAACTTTGAATGGGTTCTTGACTCTCGAGCATCGGACCATGTTGCTGGAGACTTTAATGAGTTTAAATCTTATCTTTCACACTCTCTCATACGCCAGGAAACATTCACACAACAGATGGCAAAGCCTAGGCCACCATAGGTGTTGTGATAGTTATCTGCACACTGAGTATTGAATTATCCTTAGTATTGTCTGTGCCATCTTTTCTCATGAACCCAGTGTCCTTGAGTTCCTTGGTTGACCAAATTGATTGCCGAATAATTCTTGACAAGGTTGGGTTCTTGAGCCAGGAGACAACGACGGGCATGATTCTTGGAACTGGAATGAGGAGTAAGGGGGTTATGGTACATGGATCACAACATGACACACCAGGAGTGAATGCACATGC